ACGGGCAAGTTGCTAACTCGGGAAAGTGAGAAGCAAGAAGGCTGGGACTTTGAAGGGATGTTTCCTGACAGTCCTGGCCGCCAGTCTGAAATTCTTTTAGCTAGAAGCATCTGCCAGAAAAACTAGTGGCGTTAACGACAATAATCTGCGGGGAGCTGTGCAAAAAATGCATCTTCGCACGGGCAGCCTGTGCGTTGGCCAATTATTGATAATTAAAACAATTAATGAGCCAACCATATGAGCGATTTTCTTCTGGTCAGTTTTATCAGCACAAGCAATTAGCGGATGCAGTTGCACGCTACGACCGGTTGAACTCAGTGGGCGATAACGGAGTAGGATGGCGACCATATCTGCATTGCCAGATCGTATACAGTCATTGATCATCACTTCCATATCCGGAATTTCAATCCTGAAACAACGAAAAAAAGCCCGTTACAAGAAATTTTTACATGGAAAACAAATGAGAAAGAACTGCATGCGTAACAGAATACAACAAACCTCAACTGCATAACCAAATCAGCCAGGGCTAGCGATAACGAAGTGCCAAGCAGTACCATCTGATGGAACGGTCCATTTCGCATAAAAGGCTTCCTCGTGAGATTTGGACTTAACAACGCCCTAAAAACCTTCAGTTTGAAATATAATAAATAGAATTATTAAATAAAATTAAGTAATAAAATAAAAAATTTTTTGCTATTCAGAATTAAACTTTTCCACATCTCGCTCTCAGCAAAATGCAGAAACACTTAGACTTGTTTGTCAGTGATTTTTCCTTGAAAAATAAACATTTGTTTAATAATTCTATTCGATGATATTTTTGTCTAATAATTCTATTCGATGACATCGATGATATTTTTTCTAGGATATCGACTATATTTTTTTTTTCCAGACTTCTTTCCAAGGAAAAAATTAAACAAATCGATTTTTTGTTTTTGAAAAATACTAAGAATTACCTCTAAAAGAAAAAAAAACGCTTCTACCAATAACTGACTTAAAAAAATCGTTTCTGTTCTCTAAATATGTCTAAATCAACAGAAATTTCCAGATTTCAGGAATTCTGTAAAAAAAAAAAAGAACAATGCATCACAAAAGCTAAAAGTTTACCTGTAAGCAGTTTCAAAATCACGTTCCCTGAAAGCCTCTGTAAGGAGGAGATCAGGTTCCGCAAATTTCTGTATGAATGCCCGATCTCGATATTTCATCTGGATGAAACGCTGACGATCAAACCTGCAATCAGGCATCCCTTCACGTTACTGCTAGAAGATTTAGTGAAGAGGTAACTTAAAAGATGGTGTTTTTTAGCATTTTTCCCTATTTTGTTTCTTCAAACTCACAGTTGGGTCTGTTTTTGCAGCTAAGGGATGAAATACAGGCTGCGCCATAAAATGTCTTCATATACATGGCATTCAAGTGAAATTCTTCTATTTCTTTATTTTTAGAAAGCACAACCTAAAAAAGGCACTTGAAAAAGTGGTTGCTGAAATGTGTGACTTGCCTTGTGCATCCGGGAACTGGTTTCCATGTGGCGCATTTTGCTGCATCATATTCAAACAGGCGATTGATCATGGCATTTCCCGATGAAAGTGGAATCTAAACACACAATAAAACTACCAACAGAATTGACTAACGTGAAAAGATCAATGCCAAGGTCAAGGCCAACCTTATTATTTCAATGACCCACATTTGTGGCATAAAAAGCAAAACATACAAGAAATTCGACAGGCGATATTACATCCAAATTCAGCGATTGTATCCTGCTCACATGGACACCCAGTTCACGATGGACACCGCTGCATGCAATGCAAACCAATGCACCG